AGATATCTGTTAATCCCAGTTGGGTCATTACTTCTATTAGACCCTTTGCTTCTTTGTTGAGTTTCTGTCTGGTATTCTTGTCTAGTGGTGAGAGTGGTGTGTTGAAATCTCCCACTATAACTGTGTGGAGCTTTAGATGAGATTTAAGTTCTAATAATGTTTCTTTAACGAATGTGGATGCCTTTGTATTGGGGGCATAGATGTTCAGGATAGACACTTCATCTTGGTGGGTTTCACCTGTGATGAGTATGTAATGACCTCCTTTATCTCTTTTGATTGATTTTATTTTAAAGTCTAGTTTGTTAGATATTAGGATTGCTACCCCTGCTTGTTTCTTGGGTCCATTTGATTGAAAAATTTTTCCCAACCTTTAACTCTCAGGTAATGTCTGTCTTTGAGGGTGAGGTGTGTTTCTTGTATGCAGCAGAAGGAAGGGTTCTGTCTTCGAATCCATTCTGCTAGTCTGTGTCTTTTTATGGGTGAGTTAAGGCCATTAATATTGAGGGATATTAATGACCATTGATTGCTCATCCTTCTTCGATTTGCGATGGTTGTTGTTGGTGGAATTATGGGTGGAATTTCACCACTTTGTTCTTTTGGCTGTTGGTAGAGAGGGATTCTCTAATGCTTATGTTTTTCTGGTTGTAGTTAGCTTCCTTGGGTTGGAGTTTTCCTTCCAAAATTTTCTGTAGGGCTGGGTTAGTGGACACATATTGCTTGAATCTAGTTTTGTCATGGAATATCTTGTTTTCTCCGTCTATAGTGATTGAGAGCTTTGCCGGGTATAGTAGTCTGGGCTGGCACCCATGGTCTCTTAGTGTAGGTAGAATATCTATCCCGGACCTTCTGGCTTTCAGAGTTTCCATGGAGAAATCAGGTGTAATTCTGATAGATCTGCCTTTATATGTTACTTGACCTTTTTCCTTAGCTGCTCTTAATATTCTTTCTTTATTCTGTATGTTTGGGGTCTTGATTATTATGTGGCGAGGGGATTTTTTTGTGGTCCACTCTATTTGGTGTTCTGTAGGCTTCTTGTACCTTCATTGGCATGTCTTTCTTAAGGTTGGGAAAGTTTTCTTCTATGATTTTGTTGAATATGCCTTCTGCCCCTTTGAGGTGGATTTCTTCTCCTTCTTCTATACCTATTATTCTTAGGTTTGGTCTTTTCATGGTGTCCCATAATTCCTGGATGTTTTGTGTTAAGGATTTGTTGGATTTAAGGTTTTCTTTGGTTGATAAATCCATTTCTCCTAGTGTATCTTCAACACTTGAGATTCTCTCTTCCATCTCTTCTATTCTGTTGGTAATGCTTGTATTGGTAGTGCCTGACTGTTTGTCCAGCTTTTCTATTTTCTGCCTTTCTTCAGATTGTGTTTTTTTAATGTCTCTATTTCAGTTTTCAACCCTTGCAGCATTTGCATTGCTTCTTGCAATTTTCTGTTTATCTGTTCGTCCGTTTGTTGCCTTTTATGAACCTTTTGGTTTGTTCTTTCTTCCATTTCTTGCATTTTTTGGTTTGCTTTATGTTCCATTTCTTGGATTTTGTGCTTTGTTTCTTCTTCCATTTCCTGCCTTTTTTGGTTTGTTTCTTCTTCCATTTTTTTCATTTTTTGCTTTGTTTTTTCTACCATTTCTTGCATTTTTTGCTTTGTTTCTTCTTCCATTTCCTGCCTTTTTTGGTATGTTTCTTCTTCTAATTCTTGCATTTTTGCTTTGTTTTTTCTTCCATTTCTTGCATTTTTTGCTTCATTTCTTCTTCCATTTCGTGCCTTTTTTGGTTTGTTTTTTCTTCCAATTCTTGCATTTTTTGGTTTGTTTTTTCTTCCATTTCTTGCATTTTTTGGTTTGTTTTTTCTTCCATTTCTTTGAGGGATTTTCCAATATCCTCTTTTAGGGCCTCTATCATTTTCATGAAAGTGCTTTTAAGGTCGTTCTCTTCTGCTTCCTTCGCATTGGAATGTTGGGGTCTTGCTGGTGTGGAGTCTCTAGAATCTGGCGGTGTCATATTTGTTTTTCTGTTGCTGACTGTGTTTTTGTATTGTCTCTTTCCCATCTCTTCTTCTAGTGGGTGCAGAAAGAGCCCCTTACTGGTCTGGGGACCAGAGTTCCCTTTTGATGGGTGCTAGCAAGTCCAATAATCTGTTGGTTCTTCTATACCTTGTCCAAATGGTGGTCTGTGGGTGGAGAAGAACAGGAATCTGGGGCGCTTAGCCTCCTACCTGGTCCCCTGGACCCTATGCTGGGTCCTGTTGTACCTGATCCGGAACAGCTACTCCCCTGGTCTCCCTGGCTCCTCTATTTTCCTGGTCTCGTTGGTGGGAGAGAAGATCTGGAGTCTGGGTTGCTTGGCTCCTGCCGGGATTGGGAGCTCTGTGTAGTTCCCAGGCGATCTGCAGGCACTGGAACACAGGCCGGGTAGCCGGCCTGTTTACCTGATGCTGCCAGAGGGACAGCTACTTCCCTGTACTCCCAGCCTCCTCTCGTTTCCTGGACTCGTTGGTTGGAGAGAAGACCTGGAGTCTGGGGTGCTTGGCTCCCGCCGGGATTGGGAGCTCTGTGCAGTTCCCAGGCGATCTGCAGGCTCTGGAACACAGGCCGGGAAGCCAGCCTGTTTACCTGATGCTGCCGGAGGGACAGCTACTTCCCTGTACTCCCAGCCTCCTCTAGTTTCCTGGTCTCGTTGGTGGAAGAGAAGATCTGGAGTCTGGGGTGCTTGGCTCCTGCCGGGATTGGGAGCTCTGTGCAGTTCCCAGGCGATCTGCAGGCTCTGGAACACAGGCCGGGAAGCCAGCCTGTTTACCTGATGCTGCCGGAGGGACAGCTACTCCCTTCTATACTTTTGTTGAATATATTTTCTGTGCCTTTGAGTTGGATTTCTTCTCCTTCTTCTATCCCTATTGTTCTTACGTTTGGTCTTTTCATGGTGTCCCAGGTTTCCTGGATGTTTTGTGTTAAGAACTTGTTGGATTTAACATTTTGACTGATGAATCTATGTCCTCTATTGTATCTTCACTGCCTGAGATTCTCTCTTCCATCTCTTGCATTCTCTTTGGTTTGCTTGCATCTGTAGTTCCTATTCAATTACCCAGATTTTCCATTTTCAAAATTCCCTCTGTTTGTGTTTTCTCTATTGCCTCTATTTCAATTTTCAAGTCTTGAACTTGTTTGATCATTTTGTCTTGGTTTTCTTGGCTTTTGTTAAGGGATTTATTGATTTCTTCAAAATTTTTATTTCCTCCATTTCTCAAAGGGAATTTTTCAGTTCTTCTTTAAGGGCCTCTATCATCTGCATAAAGTTATTTTAAGGTCATTTCCTTCTGCTTCATCTGGGTTGGGCTGTTCAGGTCTTGCTGATGTAGGACCACTAGTTTCTGGTGGTGCCATATTGCTCTTTGTATTGTTGAGAATATTCTTACACTGCTGTCTACCATGTCTTCCTCCAGCTGTCACAGATGGGACCTGTAACTCTGGTGGTCACTCTTCCTCCAGGTGTAGTTGGGGGTCTCTTCATCCAGGTGCAGTTGGGGCCTGTGTCTCTGATGGTCATTGTCCCTCCAGTTGCAGGCAGAGCTTGCAGGTGGGGTGGTTGCTGATGAGGCTGCAGAAGATGGTTGGCAGGAGAGGATGCTGCTGCCTGGTTGCTCTCTATGTACAGATTTTTAAGTTTAGAAGCAAGACCCCTTCTCTGATTTTGTTCATTGTGAAGTATGGACAAGAAACCAGAGGCCAGCCCCTTAAAGTCAGGTAGAAAGATTGCTGGCAAGCATGGATCAAGGTGGACAGAAAGACAATGAAGCATTCAGTTCCTTGGGTTTGTATGGCAGTGTACTAGAAGTCATCCATAGTCAGATATAGGCTCACCCCAAACATGGTCTTCTTGGAGAAACCTTTCAAAGAAAAGGCACCAGGTAACTCCCAGAATGGAAACTTGGGTGGCATACCACTCTTCCAGTCCTGGCTTCCTCTTGCTCAGTTGCTACAGTGAACACTGCTAGATGGAACCAGACATTAACCCTCTAAGCTTTCGTGGCCTCTCCTCTCCTTTCCTCAAGAAACTCAGTTGATTCTTAGTTCAAAGTAGTTGAAGTTAGCAGGGCAGTGGTCACACATTCCTTTAATACCAGAACTCAGAAGACAAGAGGCAGGTAGATCTCTGAATTTGAGGCCAGCCTGGTCTACAGTGCAAGTTCCAGGACAGCCAGAGTTACACAGAGAAACCCTGTATCAAAAAAAAAGCAAAGCAAAAAAAATGTACAGATACATAGATAGATGCAAGTTGAATGAAGGTGGCCTGAGAAGATGTCAATAGGTTGTGGGGATGGGTGATTTGGAGATCAAGTTCTTGCACAGGTGAGTTTTCATTATGTCTTCTGGGCCCTTACAGCCAGGCAATGCCTGGCCACAGACGGTCAACAAACGGTGGCTGAGACCACTTTCTGTGGGGATCTCTGGGCTATGGGCCAGGAGCCAGGTGTGTGAGGAGCTCTGGCTTCTGCGCGCACACTGTATTTGTCCTGCTGGCATGTTGCATCCCTCATCCTGCACCACCCATGGCCCCAGGATCAGGGAACAGGGCTATCTGGCTTACGGAGATGCTGCCCTGCTTCCCTCGGGATGTGGCTGCTGAGTTCTCCATCTCACCATCCCGTGGCAGCCAGTCATGAAGACTGTGTTTCCATTGGTTGATTTCACCCTCCATCCTTTCCCACAAATATGACCCACCTCTGCTTGAGTGGATACTATCCCTTTCGGTTTCCTCCTTCCTACTGCTTGAATAGCCATGTAATGTGTTGCTATGCAGCTTTTCACTGCCTTCATCCCCCCCCATTGTTCGCCTTGTTTTTTTCCATGAAGTGTGCCCTGTTCTTGTCCCTCTGTCCCATTCATCATCCAAGGAAGCAGCTCAGAAACAATCTAGGTATTGCCATGGTGCAAGAATGTGTGAGACTTTTTATATGTGAACAGTTCCTATTCTGTGTCAACATAGAATGACAATTAAGCAATGTAAATGTATTTATTATACATGGTTGCACTAAAGTTGAAATTCAAAACAATATCATCTGCCATGAACAGATGTTTCAAGATTAGGATCAATACATGAAAACAGGTGGCTGCCTACAGAAAGGTTTGCAGTGGTGTGACATCACTGTGCAGAACATGGTTGACAGCCAGCTTTGCAAACGTGGGGTCACCCACATCCTGTTTTCTAAACAGATCATAGCGGATTCCAGCTGTTTATTCCTCTGCTTTACCTGGCAGAAGGAAGGGCACCTACAAGAAAAAAACAAAAAACTATTAGTTGGCTGATAGAATTTATCAATTTACTGCAAGATTACACAGACACACATGCCTATTTTGAAATGCTACTATGAACATATGATTAATATTTATGAAATATGTAGATCGCTTAAAAATTCTCTCTTTTGTAAACACACACACACCAGCTGTTCTCAAAATTACAGAAAAAAATATTTCACTAATAGCAATCCCTAGAAGTCACCAAAAATAATTCTTATTTACATAAAACTCAACTCGTTGAAGCATCCGCTTCTTTTGCAATGATTCTAACTAAGGGCAGACTAGGTAAGACTCATAAGAACATAAAGATGGGGAGGTTTTTCTCCCTAAGGGTATAATTTTACACTGGTGTATCAAAATAGCTTTAGATAAAATTAGACATGTGGGGAGGAATATATAGAAAGAGAATGTATGGTATAAATATCCATCGCAGGGATGTTTGTCATCTGCCTTAAGCAGGCTCCTGCCTCTCACACAGACTCATGGATTGCTGGTTGATTCGCATGTGGGTTTTCAGCATCTATCCAAGGCGATGGACCATGGACATATTCTGTGGAGTGTCTCTGGAGTCTAATTAATTTCTTGAAGATTATTAGTAGAATGTTATTATGACCAAGAAAAACGTTTTTAATCTGCTTATAACAGTGTTCAAAATAATCTGGGATTTTGAAAAGAGCAAAAATCAAAGTTTTTGTTTAGAAAGTAGAAAAAAAAGAGAAATGAATATATCCCTATCCCCTCCCCCTCTCCTCCTCCCCCAGTTGCCATGCCACCAGCTGATTCTAAGTGGTCTCCAGTACAGACAGGTTCCCGGGGTCATCTACACTCAGAAGCCTGAAGGCTGGTCCCCCACTCCGGCTCTGTGCACCACAGCAGGCCTCCGAGCTGTGCTGCTCCCTCCCCCGTCTCAGCCAGGTCTGCTGCCCTGGGAAGATGCCTCACTGTGCCCTTGGTACCACTGGCAGCTCATCCAGCATCAAGTGACACTTGGTGCTTCATCTAAACTATGAGATCTTCAGTGATAGGAGGGCTAAAATCAGGTTATTCATTGCCTCTCTCCAGGTAGCCTCCATATTCTCTAAGACATGGTTCTGGTGGGGGCAGGAAGAGCCATGTAACGACCTGGTGGCCACTGAGGACGGCAAGTGTCTACAAAGTTCTCTGGGTCTAGATGGCTGTCCTTGCTCAGTCCTTTCCTCCTAGAGTGTCACCTGTATGAAAGTAAGGCGAGGCAGGGCCTGGGCTGAAGCACCTTTGCCAAGCATTCTGGTTTTTTGCATGTGGAAGGAACACATCCTATTCTGTAACGTAGGGCCCAGCCCACCCTCCGTTGAATAATATATTTTCAGTGATTCTGAAAATGGGCGGTGAAGCCGTCTGCCACACGTTTGCACATCTTCATGTAGTTACGATTGCCGAGTTTGACAGTGTAACTCTGAATCTGATTAATTAAGAATGTGTAAAAACAAAGTTCTTGCATTATAGCTCGTGCCTTATCTTTGTGTCTTTTACTGTGATGTTGTAGAACTTGGATCATATGGAAAACTAAAATATTATGACACAATGACTGAAGAAGGTAAGAATGATTTCAGAATTGTATGCCGTTGGCTTTTTCTTTTCCTTCTTTCATTTACGGTGTCTGTTGCTTGCCCATTTTCTAACCTCTTTATTTTCTTCTTTGCATGACCTCAGTAACATTGTGTGATTTGAATTTTTTGTTTTTGTTTTTGGGTTGTTTGTTTTTGTTTTTGTTTTTTGAGTTCTGCATTTTTGTCTAGTTTTTGCCATTGTGTTTAGTTGGAATTAGAGACGTGCAATACCATGGGTAATTATGTTATTCCATTCAAACGATCAAACCATCCCAATTATATAACACACACAGAGAAATGGTGTCGGCAATGCAAGCACGAATGCACTCACAGGAACATGCAGAAACTCGTCCTCCCAGCACTCTCCTGAGATGCCCTGCATTTCAGAGGGGATTAAGCTCTGGTGGATTTATGGTTTGTGCAAAGCAATGAAACACCTACAGTATCACACACACCTTAAGCCAGCCTGAAACCAAGTTCTCAAGCAGAGGGCTCTAGGCTTGTGTCCTTGCCCCTCCTCCCCCCGCCAACTCTGACAAGAGCCTTAACCTGATAGGCCAGAGTATTCCAGGCATTCCAGGCCTCTGAGTGGTTTATATGAGACTCCCACCCTGTGAGGTCAGGTGAGTCATTTGAACAGTTTCCTAAGTAGAGATTTATTTTAAAATGAACTTCCTAATGAATCCCAGTCCCTGTCTCAGAGGATAACTTTGTTCCAGGGAGAATCACTTTTCATAATTATTTAATTCTGGAGCAGAATCAAAAAACAACAATTTGAATTTTTTGATTCTTGTAAAGGGGGTTGTCTTCTCATCCTAACTGCTGTTCTGCCCCGCCCATATCTCCACATCTTGAGGAATATACAATGTTTATTTTAAAAATAGTTTTTACATGATTCTTTCTCTGATACTAACGTGCAGTCAGAAGGTACCCTAGGATGCCCTTCAACACAATAAATTCCCAAATGTGTTGCATATCTTGCATTCAGCTTCCAGTATTTCTTAGCTGCCTTAGTTTGCCAAAGATCTCCTAGCTGCTCTGCATGCCCAAAGCAGACCACCTGACAGTTCTGGGTAAGAGGAAGTCCCTCCTCAGCCCCTTCCAACTCTGGCTTCTCTGCATACCCAGACCCTTCTCCATCGCTCTCCTGGGTTTCTGGCTAACCACTGGAATGTACTTACTTCTTCTGGCCACTAAGGAGATCTCAGCACAGTTCTGCCAACAGCCAGAGAAATGCAGATTCTTGAGCAGTAAGAGGCCAAGAACAGAAGGTTGCCTATATAAGTGCCCTTCCACCGGGGGACAGAAAGAGCTCTCTGCACATTAGAGGAAGCCCCTAGCCTGGCTGTTAGTCCTGGCCTGGAGGGTGGGAGGGGGTATTAACTTCTACCAGCCTGTCGCTAATCTCTACTGTCTCCTTTACATCCTGCCCATGGCCTACCAGCCTCAACTCCCATTTGTCCCTTTAATCTCTGTTTCTCTGTCTCTTTCCTGCCTCTTTGTATAACCATCTGAGCAACTGCTGCTCTGCAGAATCCCCTTCCTCTTTCTCTGCTACCCCAGAGTGAGATCGCATGGAAATACAGTAGTGGTCCTCGAAGTCTGATAATATTACTTGCTGATGGTTGGGATTTGGAAGAAGAAGAAGATAGAAGTCAAACTGTTGTCTGGACTAAGAACCAAGGGTAGTCCTTAGGAAGCTTGACCACGTGTTTTTGGTGGCCTCATGGATCACCTCTAACATTATCTCTGACTTTTGCTCCCCTCGTGTATTTCCTAGTGTCTTACTCTTGGCTAACCATTCATCCTCATTATAAGAAAATAAGAACTAAGGCAGTATTCCATGAAATAGTGTCCTGTAGTGTTACTAGGTATACTTGAACAAGAAGGGAAAGGAGGGAAGGAGCCATATTTGAAGCACTAAGGGACTTTGACTTAGATTTCTTTACCAGGTGACTCTTGGTCCTTGGCTGTGCTTCAAGACACCACAGTCTCCAAGGAATCACACAGGGGGCTCAGGTGTGCAGGATTCTCAGGCTGCTTTGGTCAGAGAAACCTTTCTTAAGTGGATCTTCTTAAGGGACCATCCTGGAAATGTGCCCTGAGGTTAACCCTTCATCTGCAATAAAAACCTCTGAGACAGTAAAGTCTTCCAAACACACAGCAATCTCTCTAAGGTATCCAACATAAAGCATATTGTCGAACAGAGGCCACACTATTTGGCAGGACAAGCCAAATTTGGCTTAAACCTCATTCTTGGATTCCATTAAAGGGACTCAAAGTCAAATTAGATCACTCAGAGATGACAATAGACATATTCTCTCACTTAAAAATAATAATCATAACTGTGATTTACAACTCTCCATGCTGTTCAGTTTAAAGGAATGTCATAAAGATGGAGGTGTTTGGGGCAATAACTATGGATTCACCACCTTTGGGAAATATTCCACTCCATTTCCGCAGCTTAACAGTTTTAGCACTGTGGCTAGCCCTCCAGTAAGGCTTTATTATGTTAGCTCATGTGATGAGTCATTATTTACAACTATTTACAGGGATTCTCTGGACATGATGTAAGGTCAGCTGCTCGCAGCAAATCCTTTTTATCCCCCTTGAATAGATCAAATGGAAAGCTGCATTATACATGCCATCTCATCTCCAGAGAAGAATGGAGTGGGGATTTTTACATACACAGAACTGTCCTAGCCGGCACATTATTTCTGAGCACCTACTTGTGCTAGGCATCCCACTGGGTACTAGGAGGAAACAAGATTGAAACTTATAGATGAAGGGAAACAATAACAGAGAATGACTGAGGCACCAGGAAGAAAACGGTAAACACCAGAGAAGTTCAGAAGACAATGTAGAGAAAAATATCTTCCAGGAAAGAGGAGAGATTTTTATGAAAAAGGTGGTCTTTGAATGATCCCTAGAAGGTCAATAGATATGGGATAAACTGGAGAAGGAAGATAGTAAGGACCAGCTGACTGGCCAAGAGAAAGAGGAAGCAGGGAGGCCACTCCAGCCCTGAATCACTTCACCTGCTGGGTGCAGGCCCGCGGGCTGTGCAAACTTTGTATTGTCTCCCCAGAACCATGACCACATGGGTAAGCAGTAATGACAGTAGGGGAAAAGGTTCATTGAAGTACCTTAGTACTTGAGGAAACTGAGTTCTGAGGAGCAAAGTGATTCATCTGGGAATACAGAGAGAGGAAGTGGTAGTGTGGGGCCTGAACTCACTACAAGTCACACCAAAGTCCTGCCTTGTGAGATGCTCTGGGAGCACGGACATTCAGCCTGCCTTGTGCGGGTGGCTCTGGGAGCACTGACATTCAGCCTGCCTTGTGCAGGTGCTCTGGGAGCACTGGCATTCATCCCTGCCTTGTGCAGGTGCTCTCGAGCACTGACATTCAGCCTGCCTTGTGCAGGTGCTCTGGGAGCACGGACATTCATCCCTGCCTTGTGCAGGTGCTCTGGGAGCACGGACATTCAGCCTGCCTTGTGTGGGTGGCTCTGGGAGCACTGACTTTCAGCCCTGCCTTGTGCAGGTGCTCTGGGAGCACTGACATTCAGCCTGCCTTGTGTGGGTGGCTCTGGGAGCACTGACTTTCAGCCCTGCCTTGTGCAGGTGCTCTGGGAGCACTGACATTCAAGTTGGCTACAGTGCATGGAGTGGCAGTCTTAGTGTCTGCCACTGTTTCTTTTTGTTTCTGTAACGAAGTGCCCTAACAGATGCAACAGCCCAAGATCTCCATTCGTCAACATGAGGATGGACATGGCGCTAGGTGCTAGGGCAGGATCAGGACCTGTGGCTGTCAAAGACAGTCTTTTTGAGAACTTATGCCTGGTGGGAGACATGAGAGATAAAGACTGTAAGACATTAATCCTGGAGCACTCAGCAGGGTCCATCTCTCTGCCTTGGGAACCTGGAGCAGGCAGAGTCCCTAAAGCCCCAGCCCTGCCCCAATCAGACATTGCCTCCAAAGCTTCACTCCTGTGCCCAAAGATGATAAGCTGTCTAGCCAGAGTGTCCCCTTAATAAAAGCTGCATAGGAGGCATTTTATAAGCCTGAGAGGTTAGTGAGCTTCCCTTTTCCCAGGGACTCTATTTGCTTCTGGAACAAGACATTCATGGAAACTCTTCTGAATGACCCTAATTGTTGTATTTCCAAGACCTCAGCTACAGACAGACAGACAGACGGACAGACGGACAGACAGACAGAGAGGGAGAGGGGGAGAGGTAGAGAGAGACAATTTGTCTCCTCGGAAAGTAATACTGAGTGTTCATGGAAGAGCAACTTCAGATCTTTAAAGTGAGTAATCCATAGTTCATTTCTTATTTGCATACACACAAGTTTCATAGCATCTCACATTAGAGAATTCTCAATACATTGATCATGGCTTGGGGTGGTGGATGAATCCTAGGGGTGTGGCTTCAGGTGTTCAGACACTACCCAAAGGCCACTGGTGGAACAAGATGTGGATACAGACTTCTTCCCTCAACATTGCTCTAAATGCAAGTGTATAAACTATTTCAAGGATGGTGAGATGACTTAGTAAGTAAGGTACTTGGTACCAAGTCTGATGTCTCCAGTTCTGTCCCCAGGACCCACACGATGGAAAGAAAGAATCAATTCCCACAAACCGTCCTCTAGTCTTTAGATACACACCATGGCACAAACCCCACTTTGCACCCCCCGAAAAATAAATGTACAAAAGAAAACGTTAGCTCAACATTTTTTTCAGCTAAACCCAATGTCTCAAGCATACTAGGCAATTATTCTATCCCAGACTGACCTACTTTCCCAAGCCCCAGTTTATACAATGGATTTAAAGCAAAGGCAATATACGAAAGTAATCATTTTTGCTCTTTGGAAATCAGAATTTTATAGAGACAGGTAGGAAGCGGGACAGTTACCTTGACATCATTGAAAGCAGTGATACGTGGCAAAAATTGCTTGCATCGTATTGTCCTGAATCCACTGCCACTTAACAAAACCATTTGCAGAAGAGAAGGTTTCACCACTGTTTAAAAGAATCAATCATTGTTCATTTGTCTAAGTTAAAGTAAGGTAGAAAAAGTTGTGATAATGAAAACAAAACTTGTGAAGACCTTTCCCTGATGGAATTAAGCCTGTTTCATGGCAACCAACAGCTCCTTTACCTACCCTGGGAACTACTAATGTCTTCCATGAATCATGGGTGCTAAACTACATATGTGGCTAAATTTTTTAAAAAGTAAAAAAAGAACATTGTTTCAAAGAAACAAAAGCACCAACCACTCTCTTAGTACTTCTGCCATCCAATGTTCTTAGCTTCTGTGAGCTAACACACTTCTCTTTCAGAGACAGTTGGATTTTGAAATACTGTTCAGGAATGTTCTTCTTTGCCCAAGATATACCCTCTAGAACCATAGAGATAAAACAAGTCCTTGGGTCATCTGTTGCCTTTCCTATGCATTTTAATCGTTGCTTTAATCACTGACTGTGCTATATACACTCATATTATCAGACAGGGTTGGTTCAACAAATAAATAGCAAAAAAATAAATTAACGATGTCTTAACCAGGTGGAAGTTCATTTATCTCTTAAGGGTAGAACCAGGAATATGAGATATCCCTGCAATGATTCAATTCCGAGTCTCTTTCTACCCACACTGCTGCTCTTCAATACCCTAAGGTACTGTAAGGGTTCCTCACGGTCCAAGATGTCTGCTGCCAAAGCCCCAACATCACAGCCATAGTCCCAAAAGGTGTAAAGGTCAAAATCATTCCATATCCCCATTCCCTCTCAGATAGTCACAGTCCACCCCTTCAGATATCCACATCCCCACAGCCCTCAGGTAGCCACGCCATCCCCCTCAGATACTTTCTTTTTATTTCATGGAACCTTCTCTGAAAGTCTTTTCAATAAAACTTTAAGATTTTTGTTCTCCTCCACTGGTCTCCCCGCCATCACTTATTTCTATGAACCTAGCATTGCACAGACAAGCCTTGCCACATGGCTAGTTTCAAAACAGACTGGAAATGCAGATTTTCTTTAAACCTTGATAAAAATACTGCCCTTAAGAATGAAGTCATTAGGAAGTGAAAACAGAAGAGACATTGACGGGCGACTTGAAATCTCATGATTCCACTTTCGGATACCGATGTGTGGATGAGGACAGCTGAGATAGAGGCAAGCTTTATGTGAGAAACCAGGAGCTCGTAGCAGCTTTGCGAGTCCCATGAGACAACCAAGCAGTGACACTGAGGAGGGTTTTATAAAAGGCTGAGCTTGGGAGAGCTGTCAGACGGAGTATAGATGTAAATTTGCAAGTCATACTTACATTCTTTAAAGTTACACAATTGGATATCAATATGTGACTTGAGGATGGGAAAAGATTGCCACAGACTGAGCTTTGGTGACTCCAAAGTTGTGAATCACAGAGACAGAGAAGGCCCAAGTAGGAAGGCTACCAGATGAGGAAGTTGTCCCAAAAAGCCAGGGAAGGTAACATTCCAAAGGGGGCAGTTAAGAGACAGAGTAACAATGAGTGGACCCGTGAGAACAGGGCATTACTCTGGTGGGAGGCCAGTTTGGGAGGTGGTGAGGTGTCAGTAGGCCAGCTTTAAGGTGGTGGAGGGGTAAGTGGCTGACAGGAAACATGTCTTGACACATGTAGATCGGCAGTTAGGAGCTAAGGGTGACTCTCCTGTGTGAAAAGGTTTAAAATCTTCGAGGAAACTAAAAGGAGGACTAGATAGTGTTTTGGGGTGTAGAGGTGGTGGGAATTGCTGGCTGAGAAGATGTTCCAACAGCAAGGAGAGAGTAGGGAGGTTGTTTCAAAGGCTATGATGAAAGGGAGACTTCTGTACATAGCGTTTGAGTTAGAAGAAAGAAAACAAAATTTGCAGAGGAGAAGTCAAGGACGGTGGAAGTTTACTGCCTTCAGCACTGGGAGGTTATGTCAGGTTAGGAACATTCAAAGCCATCTGGAGATGTGGTCCAGATGCTGAGATGATGCAGACACTCTACTGAGATGACAGGATGTTGCTTAGCATCCTTAGCAGAGTGTCCTGACTT